TACACTTAAGCATGTATGATCACTCTGAGGAAGAGACATAATAGATATCTTGTCGACATTGTTATGTCTATTACCTTCCAAAACAATTTCATCAGTATCCAGCTTAGTGACAATGCATATTTTAAAATTAAACTTTATCTTATTGCCTTTATCACACATTTGAGAAATGCTAGAAGAATATGTTTAAGACCAACTGCACAGTACTCATCTTCTATAGCATGAGAGAGTGACTTACCAACCTTACCAATACCTGTTATTTGTCCCATTTTCAAATGACACACTCCCTCCTTGGAAGGCTATCAATGAGAGGAAGTTTTTCTTTTCACCAGTCATATGTCCTAAGCATCCACTGTCTAGATACCAGTATTGTTTGTTTCCTCTCACTTTAGCCTGCACCAGAAATCACAAGTTAGTCTTGGGAACCCAGACAAGCTTGGGTCCCTTTTTGTTTGAAAAAGGATAAATCAAATCTCTCATTGCCCAGAAGAGATGAGTGTTAACAATTTTTTTCTTGTTGACCTTAGTACACTTAGTTTGGACAAAGTAATTGACTGCGGGTTCTTTTTCCTTCTCCATATGTTTAAATAGCCCAAAGGTGTTCTTAAATTGAGCATGAATTAAAGCAGGGTAAGTATCTTCTAAGTGTTCTACCTTCCCATAGCGAGTGCACATATCTCTTAAGTGTCCTACATTCCCACAGTGAGTGCACATCTTATTATTAAAAATTCTTACATACTTGGGATCAAACCTGGGTGCAAGTTTTCTATAGACAATTCTTGATTTGTTAGTGCTGCAATTTTCATTTAGCCAATTTAGTGCATCTGAGGATCTATGTCACTTGCTTAGCCTAGATAGTTCATATTTTGCCTTTTCAAGATTTTCTTGCAATACTTTATTCATACTGTCAACATCACAAAGACTATTTTTAAGCTCTTTTAATTCCTTTTCAAGATTGTCTTGCAGATCACTCAGTATTACCTTGCCATGTGCATCAGGTTGCTGCTCATTTTTAGAAGTGAGTTCACGAACTTGGTTCTTAATATCTTTGAGATGTCCTTCAAGATCAGCTTTGTCAAATTCAAGTGTTTTGAGGTCAAGCTTAACACATGAAATGTTGCTTATTAACTGATCATTTCCAGCACTCAACCTATCTATCTCACTCATCATAGTCACTATTATGGCCATTAGCTATTTTTTCGACATAGCATGGATATTTTAGAAATACTTACCTGGTTTGTTTCATCTTCAGCCTCTGAGTCGCTCATGGCCATCATCCCTATCATTTCATCTTATGTTTGGCTTTCTTCAATTGCCATTAGAGCAACTTTAATATTTTTATTTCCAAAATCAGCCTCCAATGTCCTCCATATATCATGAGCAGAGATGCAAGATGACACCTTGTAGAGAACACTCCTTGGTAAATTTGTATAGAGCAGATCATTTGCCTTAGCATTTTTCTGGATCATCTGACGATCTTCAGCATCATAATCCTCCTCTCTCTTGATACTTTTGTTTCCTTCACTATCCACTTTGGTAGGGGAAAATGGTCCATGAATGACAATTATCCATAGGTCAAAATCAGTGGCCTGAAGGAACGTTTCCATACGTATCTTCCATTCATCATATTGGTGTCCATCAAACAGGGGAGGTCTTACAATGTGCATTCCTAGTTGTACCAGAGGTTCAGTCTTAACCGCCTTATGTGCATCTGTCACTGCGTAAAGACTTATAGCCTCATCCTCCTTTTCTTCCTCTTTATCACTTCCATTATCCTAATATACTGCTAGAAAGGCTTGTTTCATGGCCTCAGTGAATCCTTTTCCTAGGATTTTACCTTTATTTAGGCCTCTCTTTTCATTTTTTCCCTTTTCTCCTTTTCAGCTCTTTCTTTTTTTCATTCAATCTCCCACATGGGACAGCCTTTGATCATGTGATCCAACTTGTTGCACTTATGACATTTATCATATGAAGATTTATCAATCTGCTTAGATTTTCCATTATTTTCTCTCTTAGATGCATTCTTGGAATTCTTCATGAACTTTTTGAAGTTAGCATACATTGTTAGGTCGAGTTCATCATTGTTAGATTCATCTTCTTCGGATGCCTTAAAAACCAAGGCCTTATCTCTCTTTGGTTCCTCCTTGCACAGTTCCACCTTTCTCATCTCATGGGTCTTTAAGTTTCCAATGTGAAATCTTATCCAACTCCTCTGCTTCCTGGATGGCTATGACCTTTGATTCCCATGAAGCTGGGAGAATCCTTAGAACTTTGCTAACCAATTCTTCAGAAGTGAATACCTTTCCAAATAATTTCAGTTTATTTGTTATTATAGTAAACCTAGTCATCATCTCCTGGATGGGTTCAGACTCCTTCATAGAGAAGAGCTCATAATTCCACATAAGCAGCTCAAGCCTTGATATCTTCACTTGATTTGTTCCTTTATGAGCCGTTTGAAGTGCATCCCACATCTTTTTTGCATTAGAGCATGCAATATCATGTTGTACTCATCAAGATCAAGTCCACGGATGAGGATCTTCTTAGCCTTTGCATTCTTCTATATCATTTTGAAATCTGCTGCCACGAATTCAGAGGGGTCTTTGGGAACAGTTTTCATTTTGCCCATTTTGTTTGTTGGGAGTTAGTGTTCCTCGATTCACTATTTTTCATAGTTCATAGTCTTCGGCCGTTAAGAAATTCTCCATTCTTTCCTTCCACCAACTGTAGTATTTTTCGTTGAACATAGGTGGTCTAGTAGTTGAATGTCCTTCGTTAATTTCAGGTGGGGCACTCATTTTTCTCCCAGTGTCTCTCTAGGTGTTAACCACGTGTGTGAGAGCCCGCTCTGATACCAATTGTTAGTTTGAGTGCCTTCCTAAATTACTAAAGAATTTGATTCTTTACCTTACTTCTTAGGCGTAAACGAAATAAACAGTAAAAACAAATACAATAATTTTTACGTAGAAAATCACTCGGCTCAAAGGTGCAAAAATCACGACCTACCACGTAGGATTTTAAATTAAACTTCACTAAAATAAATGAGTCAAATGTATCTATTACAAGACCTGTAAATCAATACCACACAGTTTTCCTACTTCAACTATTTGACTTACAAGTTACTCTAACTTGAAAACTCAAACAATTACTTCAACTCACGGATTATGTATGACACTTTGATTACAATTTGATTTCCTAATACACATTCACTAACTGACTCAAGAAGAACACTAAGAGTAGTAATCGACTTGAGTGTTGAAAATATAGTTCCACAGTTGACGTGCAAAAGGAAGATGTCCTCAGTCCATCAGGAAAGTATTTAAGTTTACTGGGCTCCGAGATCCTTTAGGAATCCTATGCATAGTCAACTTCTTATTTGATTCAACTCCTACAGTTCTTAGGATTCAACAAATCTTGTGACTCTTGTCTATCACTTATGCAAGAATATCTTCTTGGACAACATCCCTTATTATATTAACAACCTTCTTCCAATAATCTCGGACTAGAGTAACTTGGTGAAAAAGTTAATGTCTTGTAAGAACCTTCAACAACGACCTTGAGGACCTGGTTCTTAGAGTACTTCATCAGCTACCATGAGGACCTGGTTCTTTGCGCACATTCTCTGGACACACTTTGTTAATCATCAAAACCCCAATACTCATTTTATTTTGATATTGTTCAAAAATAAATTCCTTGTTATAATTTCGTGTAGAAGGACTATTTTACGAAAGGAAACAAAAAAGTTCTGTAAATATTTAGTTAGTAAGAAGTTGAATGGTTTCTTGTTAGTGTTAAGTGTTTGTCCTGATTTTCTTACTATATTTGATTTTCCTATCTCTTGAAAGAAAGAGCAACATATTTATCATAATTGGGTTTTTCTTCTTTTAGAAGAAAATTATAAATCTCTCATATTTGGCTAGTCTTTTTTCTTGGAGGAAAAGGTTTTGGACTTCTATAAATTGAGGATGCTTCATTCTCATTAAGCAGTATCCACAATGTAGTCATATGGGGTGTAGTCATATGGGGTTTGAGAGTCTTGTTTAGGGGGAGAATTTCAGGACAAGTGTTAGATTGTCACTTGTGTTTGTTCTCTCGATAATTTGTACTCTTTTTTTTTATAGTGGATTGTCCATCTCCGTCTGTGAACATAGGTCAATTGACCGAACTACGTTAAATATTTGTGTCTCTTTTGGTATATTTCTCTTTTGCTATCTGATTTATCGTCATTCAAGATTTGTTTTACTAGCTTCCACATGCAGAGGTGGATCCAGAATTTAAACTCTATGGATTTAATATTTAAGATTTTTAATATTGAACTCATTATTATTTTAAAGTTATGGGTTCATATCTACATTTTTTGTAATTTTAGTGGATTTTTACATTTAAATTTATGCTTCACATCGAAAGTTATGGGTTCAATTGAACCTATCCGCATAACACTTGATTATTTTGATCCTAACAGTTAGACCTAACTAATACAACTCACAAATAGGCCATAGCCCGTGCTAATGCATAAAGTTGAATCATTGTGTCTAAAATTCAAGAAAATGTCTATTTAATCCCACAAGACATAACCTATAGGCACGACAAGACTTGATTAGTATTCATTTTACCTATCGTTGTTTACTTTATTTTCTTAGTTACCAATATAGGTATTATGTTAGATAGTTACATGTTGTTGTATGTCACTTTATCTTGATGGTATAGAAAAGTTTTATGCTTAACAGTGCACATGAAGTTAAACTCAGTCCAACAATGTGTTGAAATCTTCTAGTGAATACGTCATTTATAAATGGAAATGGGGCTGAAAATTATGTGGAATTTGTGAAATCAACTCTACCCTTGCCCGAACAGAAAAATAAAAGCTGCACAAAACTCATGCCACATATAGTGCATAGAAAAAAGTCAAAGGATTCTTTTATTGGTAAACATGATGAGAAAAGAATAAGATTCAATCAATCCATGTCTTTACTCTTATATAAGCATCTCATACTTCTTTCCTTATTCCTTAATATCTACAGCTGAAAATAACAAAGAAGCACAACATTAATTACTAGCAGACATGGAGGAGACGGACAAAGGAGCAACTAAAAATGTAAGTAAACACAGAGGAATCAGAGCCATGCCCTTTGTCATAGGTATATATTTTTTACAAAAACTTGGTCATTAGTGACAGTGTCGTAGTTGTTCCTGTTTTGAATCGCATGCTAAACTGCAGGGAATGAGACATTTGAGAAGCTAGGAACAGTTGGAAGCTCGTCAAATCTCTTGGTTTATCTAACCAGTATTTTTCATTTGAAGAGTATAACAGCTACTAATATTATCAACATCTTCAATGGAACTTGCAACTTTGGCACCTTGCTTGGAGCTTTTCTTTCTGATACTTACTTTGGCCGTTACAACACCCTTGGATTTGCCTCAGTGTCTTCTTTCTTGGTATAATCTCCTTCTCATATAACATGAAAAACAAGAAATACTCACGTTGGAAAAAATTGAGACTAAGAGTGTGTTAGGTACGACGGAAGTTATAAGGAAAATGACTTCCGTCGATAAGTGAGTGAAGTTAGTTTCCTATTTTAGTAGAAATTATTTTCCTTGAGAATAGATTTTTGGAAACCAAACACAAGAAAACGACTTCCTCATGGAAAATATTTGTATAGAAAATGACTTTCATCAAACCAAACACACACCAACTTAACCATTGTTTAAAAGTCCTTCTAACTACCAGATTTTATCTTTGTTTGCCACTTACAGGGAATGCTTGTTCTGACCTTAACAGCAGCAGTCTCAAAGTTACATCCACCTGAATGTGGAAAAGATGCACCATGTGTTGGTCCAACAGCAGGGCAAATGACATTTTTACTAGGCGGATTCGGTTTACTAGTTATCGGTGCTTCAGGCATAAGGCCATGTAATTTGGCATTTGGAGCAGATCAATTTGATCCCAAAACGGAATCAGGAAGAAGAGGAATCAGCAGTTTCTTCAATTGGTACTACTTTACCTACACATTTGCTGTGATGGTGTCACTGACTGTCATTGTGTATGTTCAATCAAGTATCAGTTGGTCACTTGGATTGGCCATTCCTACAACTATGATGTTCCTTTCTTGCGCACTTTTCTTTGTGGGCACTAAAATTTATGTCAGGATTGTGCCAAAAGGTAGTCCTTTGTCAAGTGTGGCACAGGTTTTAATGGCTGCATTCAAGAAGAGGCAATTGCAGCTGCCACAACAACCTCGTTTCTCACTCTTCAACTACATGCCTTCTAATTCCTTGAATTCTATGCTTCCTTACACTGATCAGTTCCGGTAATTCCTCTTCCCATCATCGAAGTACTTAGCCTGTTTAGCAAAATATTCTTGGAAACTAGAACTAGAAGTGCTTATTTATTTCGAAAAAGAAATAAATACTTATTTTAAGTGTTTGGCCAAGCTTCTCGAAAAAAACACATACTAGTGGTTTTGCATATTACTCACTCCGTTCACTTTTACTTGTCCACTATGCTAAAAATATATTTTTCATTTTTACTTGTCCACAATACTAAAAAAATTTTTTTTTTTTTTTTTTTTTTTTTTTTTAACCTTATCATTAACTACTCATTCTCCAAATTATTTTCCAAGACTTTTGAGAATGCTATTATTATTATGCGTAAAAATGTAAATTACATACTTCATTTATTTTTCTTAACGAAAATGCAAAGTCAAAAGTGAACGGAAGTAGTAGTAGCAGAAGTTGTTTTATACTGTTGAAAAGAAGCCGGAAAAAGTAGTTTCCTCTTCCTCTTAGATACCATTGTCAAAATTTTGTATTCACTAAATTACAAAAAATAAACTCATGTATTGTGGACATAAGGAGATTCTGAAAATTTGGTCAAACAGACTGTAAGTTGCAAGTCAACAGTCAACAGAAATAGTTGAGTAACTAAAACGGTTTATGATTCAGATTCTTGAGTAAAGCAGCAGTAATAACCCAAGAAGACCTGATAAACTCAGTAGATGGATCAGCAGTCAACCCCTGGAGACTTTGCAGCATTCAGCAAGTGGAAGAAGTAAAATGCTTATTGAGAGTAATCCCAATATGGGTTGCTGGAACTATCTATTATGTCTCTGTTGTCCAATCACAAAACTATGTTATATTCCAAGCCATTCAAACTGATAGTCAACTTGGCCACATCAATTTCCACATCCCACCAGCATCTTTCATTGTTATTTCCATGCTGAGTATAACCATTTGGCTACCTATCTACGATCGCGTTTTACTTCCATGGCTTCGGAAACTCACAGGTATCGATGGCTAGTGGGGCGAGTATAGCCTTAACCCGCCTTGCCCTGCCCTGCTTAGACTCTTTCCGCTTTCAACCCGCCCCCTTATTTTTCCAAGCTTTTCATTATTTATCTTTTTATAGGGAAAGAAGATGGAATTACCCTTCTTCAGAAAATGGGAATTGGAATATTTCATTCTATCATCACAATGATCATATCAGGAATTGTTGAAGACAAAAGAAGAACCCTGGCAATGACTAGGCAAAAGTTAGAGATGACTCAGGGTAAAGGCGCAATTTCATCCATGTCAGGACTATGGTTAATACCTCAGATGGCATTATCAGGTAAGCGTGTTTTACAACTTTATTCATATTTGAACTTCAGTTCGAAATATAAAATTTGAAGTTGAAAAACTGGTTCGAGTATTATAAGTGAAATGATGGTTTTCAGTCGTAGAAATTCAACTTTTTTTCCAAATGATATTCCAACGCAATTTAACTTTCAAATACTCGTCTTTTCCAACTTTAACCAAATATTGCCCAAACTGATACAGGTCTTTCCGAGGCATTTACATTAATCAGCGAGAACGAGTTCTTCTACAAACAATGCCCAGAAAACATGAGGAGCATAGCAGCATCTTTCTTCTTTGTTGGATTGGCAGGGTCGAGTTATTTGAGCAGTTTCTTGTCATCAGTTGTTCATAAGTCATCAAATTGGTTGGCTGAAGATCTTAACAAGGGAAGATTAGACTGCTTTTATTACCTCATTGCAGCACTAGAGATTCTGAATTTGGGATATTTTCTTGTATGTGCAAAATGGTACAAGTACAAAGGTGGGGGAAGTGACAACCAATCGAATGAGCCAAAAGAATAATCTGAGTTTTGACAACAAATCGAGTGAGACCAACAAATTACATTGTAATGTAATTTTCACTCAGCAGAAATAGAGTATAGCAAGTTGTGGCTACATTGCTGCAGTAAGCAGTCTAAAACTAGAGGCTTGGCCATTATAGTAGTAGTTGCTTTGCTCGTGATTTAATTCTTTCATAGGACCCAAAATAAAACGTAAAACAAGAAAGATGAAAATTATTTATACCAAATAGAAAATTATTAATGGAAATTTAATCTTAATTATTGAACTGTTGCTGACTGCTAGATTTGGACTGACTGGTACACAATCACATGCAGTAAATCCTTCAAAATCTGATGTAGGGAACACAGTAGAAGAATGCATTGACTTATGACCACCACAAAATATGTAATGAATGTATATAAGAAGGAAGATAGTATTGAGGACCTCACTATATATATATATATTATTTATTTATTATTTATTTTTTTTTAATTTATGCTTTGCTCATGATATAATTCTTTCGTAGGACCCAAAATAAAACGTAAAACAAGAAATATCTATACCATATGGAAAATTATTAATGGAATTTTAATAACTGTTGCTGACGGCTAGATTTGGACTTATTGGTACACGATCACATTTCAAAATCTGATGTAGGGCATACAGTATAAGAATGCGTTGACTTATGACCACCACAAAATATGTAATGAATGTATANATGTTTTTAAAAGTGTATATATATATATATATATATATATATTATTTTATTTTTATTTTTTATTTTTAAAAATTTAGAAATGGGAGTTGAGAAGGACGAACAATGGTAAACCTGTAATTTCAACGTTTATTTGGGGCAAATTAGTAAATACAATTATACCTATCCTTTATATACGTTTTCTTCGTTCATATCCATAGATTCCAGAATCCTGGAGCTCAATTCTCTCTCTCATTCAGACATCATTTTGTTTCCATTGCTTCTCTGCTTCTGGCCTTCGTAACTGGTCATCATATTCAAATTTCTCTCATTTGGTTCGAGTTTGTCTTGTGTTATTGTATTTGTTGGCTTTATATATTTTTATGAGTTTGAGATTCTAAGGGCATACCTATTTCTGTTGAATAAAAGTTTACAGATTAAAAAAAAACCATGACATAACTGAAAGTAAAGAGGGGAGGGGTGAATGTACGCCTATTAAGAAATTGGTCGACTGCGGTATAGGCTTACTCGACTGATACGGAGAGAGCCTGCACAAAACAGTTAGTCCTTTCGATTTAAACAAGTATAAATCATAACAAACATTACATAATATAGTATGAGAGCGATAAGGTAAATGACACCAGAAATTTTTATATTGGTTCGGAACCAATGTGGTATCCTAATCTAGTCTCCTTAGGTTGCAAGGAGGTTATCTCTTTGAGCTCTTTGTAATTTGAGCTTGTACGGCCTTTGTGGTTTTCATACCTCACCACCAACGTTTACAAGGTTGGTTTTCACTCGCTCACCAACAACGAACAAGGGTTGGTTTTGACATGCTCACCAACAACGTATAAGAGTTGGTTTTCACTCGCTCACCAACAATGACACTTTGGTTTTCACTCGTTAACCAAAGAAACGAACAATGATACAACCTCTCAGTATTTTTCCCTTTCTCTATATCTTTTATGACACTTGTAAACTTAAGAATACAGTGCTTGTTTAAGAAGTAGAAAGAGTAGGAAAATTATCTGCGAAGCTGGTACTTTTCTTTTTCCCGAGCTGCTCCTATTTATAGTGCCTTCGATTTTGACCGTTGCTAATAGAAAATCTGGATCCCTTTGAATATTCCTTTAAGCTTTGTCAGTAAGATCCTTTTTGCCTTATTGTATGGATATCTTCGTTATTGAAGATCTTCAATTAATTCAAGTTTATTGACTTCAATTGCATCCCAAAAGATTTGAATGGCATAGGAATCATATTGATGGAGTCTAAAATATATTTTGCCATAACTGAACTTCCTTGATTCCTTATTTAAAGCCATACTTAGATCTTTTTGACATCTTTCCATGTACTCACGTTGGAGATAGTAAATGATTATTATTTCCTTCTTTGACTCACAACAGATTCTTTTCCCTACTAAATGTGGGATTTCTTTTATTTGTTGCCTTGATAACTTCTATGTATGGATCTTCTTTTTCCTTAGGTATGAGATCTTAGATTGACCCTTCCTTTAATAGACTTGTGTAAGAATCTTCTTGGTCTTCAAATTATTTCCCTCAGATAGTAAATAATTTTCCTTGAGCAAATAATTTTCCTTGAACAAAGATATTTCTTTGATAGCCTTGAACTCTATAGTATCGATCCTTGTATATTTTCTTTCTATTTGAGCACCCAAAGTATATTCTTCAACATCTCATATTTCCATAACTCTTGTCGCCTTTCCTTGTCGATAACTCATAAGATTAGTCTTCTAGCTGTAGCTCCTCGTTATGGAATAATCTTGGATGATCCTTCTTTATTCTTTGATGAACTTGGACCTTTTCATGTGCACTACATGAATTTGGCATTCTCTTAATTTAAGTGTAATTTTCTTTCCTTCAGAGAGTAGGTACTAGAAAGTTTTCCAAGTTTTCTTTGGCCTTGCTATTAATTTCCTCCATATTGTATATATGGTGATGCCTTGTATCACTAGTAGATATTCTCCATCCTTTTGATAGTCACAATATTCCTTGATCAATGTAGCAAATTTCCTTATTGAAATATTCCATGTTATCTCCTTCAATCTTCTGATTTCTTTCTTTTTATTTTTCTTGTACCAATCTTCTAAAGATCTTCTATAATTTTTTTCCATATCTCCTTTGATATATTTTGAAACTTTCTTCCAGCAAGGTAAATCATCTCAATAAATCTCAATAATATCCTCTATAAAAGAGTGTGCATTGTTGATATTTCCTTCCTCAGCTTGTAGTAAATCAACCATTATTCTTCCATCTGTTTTCCATAATAAACTTGTACCAATAAAATAAATTTATCACAAGTAAATATTCTTTTATTAAACTTTATGTTGGTTTGGTATCATCAAAATTAGTGTATGAAACTTTGGGGCTAACAATCTCCCCCTTTTTTATGATGGCAAACCATTAAGTACAAAACATGAAAATTTAATCAAAGAATATCAAATGAAACGCATTAAAGAGATAGTTAAGATAAACTAGTTATTTCCCTGAAGTTATCTCTTCAATGTATGAATGCTGGAACAAGTAAAGGCTCCCCCTCACTTTATGCGTTCCTCAGTTATGCTCCCCCTATCTTCATGCATCTTATCTTTAATATTTGCAAGAAAGGCTTTGTACCATCTATTCTCTCCCCCTTTTGTCATCATCAAAAGGGTGTATAACGACCAGATCGGTCGTTTTGAGAGTGCTAGCCCTGATCCCCTATTTATTGCTCCATCTATCTCATTTTGTAGTTATTTGACTTGACTGGGTGCTTGGTGTCGGGTTCGAAAGAGTTTCAGAGTGGAATGGGACACATAGTCCCTAAATTGAAAGTTAAAGTCATAGTCGTCGACCGTAGTTTGAATTCTATGGAGACGACTCCGGAATAGAGTTTTAATGGATCCAATAGCTCCGTATGGTGATTTTGGTCTTAGGAGCATGTTCGGATGTTGATTTGGAGGTCCGTAGGTCATTGCGGCGTTAATTGGCGAAAGTTGGATAATTGAAAGATTTTGGAAGGTTTGATCGGGAGTGGACTTTTTGATATCAGGGTCGGATTCCGATTCCGAAAGTTAGAGTAGGTCCGTAATATCAATTATGACTTGTGTGCAAAATTTGAGGTCAATCGGACTTGATTTGATAGGTTTCGGCATCGGTGGTGGAAGTTAGAAGTTCAAAAGTTCATTAGGCTTGAATCGATGCGCAATTCATATTTTTGATGTTGTTTGATGTGATTTGAGGCCTCGACTAAGTTCATATCGTATTTTAGGAGTTGTTAGTATAATTGGTGGAGGTCCCGTAGGCCTCGGGGGCGATACGGATCGATATCGGATCATTTTTGGACTTACGCAATTGCTGAAGCTCCCAGCTTCTGGTGTCATCGCACCTGCGGTGCGATTGGCCGCAGGTGCGGTAAGGGTTCCGCAGAAGCGGCTTTGCTTCTGCGGTGGGGAAATGCGGAGGAGCGAGTGGGGTCGTAGGTGCGACATGTTTTGTCGTAGGTACGGCCGTTTGCTCGCAGAAGCGGACTCAGTGGACGTAAGTGAAGTCCGCACCTGCAATGAAAATTTTGTAGGTGCGGAGCCACAGATGCGGTTGTTGGTTCGCAGATTCGAAATCGCTGGGCAAAAAAGGCCTAAGTTCGAGGGTTTGATTTTATTATCCATTTTTGGACCTAGAGATCTCAAATTGAGGCGAAATTTTGAGGGATTTTCAAAGGAAGCATTTGGATAAGGATTCTTGACTCATTTTTTTATTAATTCCCACGAATCTATTGTTGTTTTCATCATTAAATTAGTATTTTTAGTTGAAAAATTGGGGAAAATTGGGGATTTGAAAGGCGATTTGAGGTTGGATTTGAGTAATTCTTGTATGGTTGGACTCTATATCGATTGGGTGTTCGGATTTTATGATTTTGGTCTGGTTTCGAGATGTGGGCCCGGGTCGACTTTTTGGAGCAATTTTTCAATTCTTTTCTAAAGTCGTAATTTCATTATTTAAATTAGTTTTCTATAGTTATATTTATAGCATGAAATTATTTTGGCTAGATTCGAGCCGATCAGAGTTGGAAAATCGAGGGAAATGCCTTCTTATTGATTAATTGAGCAAGGTTTGAGGTAAGTGGCTTGTCTAACCTTGTGTGGGGGAAATTCCCCATTAAGATTTGGTATTGTTGTGATAATTTGTGATATATGAGGGAAGTATACGCGAGGTGACGAGTGCGTACACGAGGTAAATGTTGAAATTCCAGTTTTATCTAAGTAGTTCCCTTTTTATGCCTTAACTAAGTTACTTTTGCATGTATAGTCATCGTGTTTAGCCTAATTTCACCTGTCTACTTGTCTTATCTCTTATTTGCAACTTGTACTACATGCTTAGTAGAATTGCCTGCTTTCTTCATTCCATATTCCTTATTTAACTGT